TCTATCTATCTATCTATCTATCTATCTATCTATCTATCTATCTATCTATCTATCTATCTATCTATCTATACAGAGAGAGAGTCTGGAGTCTGGAGGCTGAGAGTATTTTAGCTGTGTGCCGACTTGCAGAGTTACAGAGGAATGTAATTTGTGGCTTTTTAATGGTGGTTGGTAATCAGAATATTTATGGCCAAACGGAACCCACTGAATACTGTAACTAATCTGTATTAGTACATTGGTGGTTTGTAGTTGGCAGCACAGCCTTTGAAGAAATAATCGTTCAGATTTGCAACATTCTGGGTAGAGAGAGGAATAAATTATCACAAATTATCCTGATGCGATTATTATATTGTTATGGTCATATTACCGGGGACTACGCCAGTAAGTATTCTATTTGAAGCCTCTGACCACCAGCAGCCTCGCAGTTACACACTACTCGTGTGATGACTGGTGAGTGTGTGGCTAATGTGAACTAAAGCATTTGCTGCTGTCAGAACCAAACTTAGGACTATCCATTTGTCTTAAATAGAGCCCATCTACACTAATTCAACATAACTGAGTCAATAATCATAGACACATGTGCCCAATGTTGCACAAAGCACATTTGAAGTTGATTTTATCATTGGATTACAAACGTTTACTCCACCAATAAAAATGTGTGTCTCCTTTGGAAGGGGATGAAAACAAAAAAGCTGCCGGGTGTCTCAGGAGATAATATAGTATTCTAGGTAATAATATAATAACCTGAAGATAATTGTGTAGCATTATTTTAGCTTGTGTTCAGAACTTTATGGAATCAAGGCCAGCAAATTCTCATGGAAAGAGAATATCAGAGAGCCTGAAGTCATTTAGAGTCATAAATGCAAAAGTATTCAAATTCACAAGAGCTCCTAGGGTGGGTTTTCTGCTTTCAGTGTAAAAATGCAAGTAAGCTGCAAGTGTAGCCAAGTCAAAGGTTTAAATTAGATTATTCTGAAAATGTTTAATAACGCAGAATTAACTGCCAAAACTGCATGAACCTCTTTGAGGAATCCATTATTTCAATTAGTGCAAATTAAAAACATGTTTGGGGTTCATATTCCTCTCTTGAATACTTTTCTTTTTTTAACATTCAAAACTTAAATTCTATTTTGGGACGCTCAGTAAAGGACTGCTAATTAGTGCAAGCAGACACAACTTGCAGTCCTGAACCCCAGATCTCCGTTTTGAAGTCGCATTTGCAAGCTGTTAGTGTAAGCGTTTTAAAATTCCTTTGATGTCTCATCTGAGACATGAAGATTTGTTTATGCTCTCATGCTTTGTACATTTG